GTAGATCTGATACAAAGAGTAATTATCCCTTTAAGGTCTACCCTTTAACTTTGATTATGAATGCGGTATCTTTTACAAGGCAGCAAAGCTGTCAAATGTACAGACAGAAAAAAACAAAATAAAGATGCAGAAAATAGATCATTTTGTCAATTTTAATAAATAATGCTTATAATAGCACAGTCAATCAACAATGAATTTTAATCATGCAAAACAGCTAACATGGTCAAAAACAGGAACGGATCCAGAGATATTTTCTGACAGTATTTCAAGTTATCTTTGTTGATCCATCTTCCATTTTTGATGGTCTTCCAACAGAAAAAAGTAGATACTCATCAATGTTAACTTTAAAATCTGACCGTTTTCAGAAGACAGTCTCAATCTGCCCTTGCAATAACATTTCAGGACCATGAGAGTTCAAATTCACATAATGAAAATCCCAATATTTGAAAAATGATGACAGTGCATAAAATAGTATTACATAATATTTAAAGACATAAATATCAATATAACTACTCATGCGGAAATACAGAAAATGTGCAGAGCTTCAGGTGGATTGGAGTTAAAAGTCATATATTAAAAATGCCAGTGTTTCAAAAAAAAATTAAAAAGAAAACAAACTAGAAAAGCACTCTGAGAGCCTCTGATTATTGATTGATTATTGACCTGGATCACCACCAAAAACTAATCACTTGTAAGTTAACCCATTTCTGACCTACCCTGAAAAATTCATCAAAATCGGTCCATAACTTTTTGAGTTATGTTGATGATTGATTTTTGATTATTGATTGATTATTGATCCGGATCACCACCAAAAACTAACCATCTGTCCCTTGGCCCACTTCTGACAGTTCCTGAAAATTTCATCAAAATCGGTCTTTAACTTTATGAGTTATGTTGATGACAGACAAACAAACAGGGGTGAAAACATAACCTCCTTGGCGGAGGTAAAAATAGTCCGATCAAGCTGATTTTCGAACTTGACCTGCGTATTATGAATATTCATCGGTTCTGTAAGTTTAAAGTCAAAAGGTAAAACGGTTTTCAACTATCGTGTTTTCGGTGTTGCATGCATGCTGAAACAAGGGGAAAAAAAGCATTAAACTTCCATGAAAATGTCCCGATCAGCCTGATCTTCGAACTTGACCTGCGTATTATGAATATTCATTAGTTCTGTAAGTTTCAAGCCAAAAAGTAGAACGATTTTTACCTATCGTGTTATCGGTGAAAGTGCACGGAGACGACGGCGACGACAGATGCAGGTGACAGCTATATGTACAGGCATTATCCCGCATTATCTGTGCCCCCGACCCCCTCTCTAAATCCGCCATTGTAATAATATGATAATAAAAAATTGAATACAACTTTGAATTCATTCAGTTTTATTTTTGGACTCTTTAGCATGTGAAATGCACCTCTATATTGGGTTTGGGTGTCTAGCTTTTTCCATATTTGTACTCGACCTGCACATGAACAATGTAGACCTACTTTTCCTTATTAGGAAGTTAACCTCTGGTAGCTTGATGATATAAAATCAATGACACAGTCTCTATACCAAATATGGATAAAGAAAACGCAGTAGTACCAAACACAGCATTTGATAACCGATTTGATTACCAAAAAAGGTGCCGAATTATTATCGATTCGTAACGTTACATGCTGGTTGATTCATGCAGGGATATTTTTGAGCACACCTGTGACAGATTTCCTTTTAAAGAGACTTGTATTTGTGGAGGGAATGCGTATAAATAGTCCTGAAATACATCGCTAATAGTTATATTGGACCGAAAAGCGCATAGAGAGAGAGAGAGAGAAAACGTTCAATAAATAAAACTACGCCTGCAAGTTTATACCAATAGTCAAAATGGTAAGGTGTTAGATTCTCATGTTATTTAACTTAAAAGTAATGTTAAGTTAACGTTTATTGTTTTAAAACATACTTAGGTAGCAAGGAGCTCTTTTTTGTGTTAATGAACAAATCATTCCAAGGCTTCAGGGAGCGGTTATTGGGCTGCCTATGTAAGTGATAGTTATGGACAGATAAGTAAATCGTAATTGTGAAGCTTTCTTCTTACTACCGTCCTCGTGGCCTCAATGTTTCAATTAGTTTATGGACTGTTTGATTCTTCAACCATGCCTTGAATTTTTCAGTCTTCTGGAGTTCAAGTACTAGAGGAATGCCTGACAGCCTATAATGACATCAAAATGAATAAAAAATATGTCTATGTCATCTTTAAAATCGTAGACCATAATGGCAAGGCGCTCTCCGCGATTGGTGTAGATCGTACTAGATGCAGTACTGGCCAAAAAGATCAGGAAGAACAAGGTTTGTTGAAACTGCTAATTAGCTTTTAAAATATTACCAAAAAATACCCCTTTACTGTTTTTAAAGTGTATGTATTGGAAAACATACGTGGGGTTCAGGGCCCGAAAAGTTTTTGGTATTTTGGGTGTCAGGACCTGACGGCGCTGAGTGTAGAGCATCTTGTACAGTGTATGTACTCGTAGTCTCTGACAATGGTAAAACTTGAATATTAATTCTGAATATATTCTTAGTCATTAACAATAAAAAACATTTCCATAACTTTATTGTTCAATTGATTCCCAATTCCATATGTTAAAATTGTATTGCAGATAAGGCCTATCAAGAATTCCTTGATTACTTAAGAGATACAGAAGAAAAAAGAGAGTGCTGTTACGCTCTTTTTGACTATGGGTACATGCAGGAAAATTCAACGTGGAAGAGCTCTACTATTTTTTTCAGCTGGTGAGTAATTATACCATAATACATTTATGAGAAAAATAAATCTTAATGAACTTCAATTAATCTGTGCTTCTTATGCTAAAAAGATATATACCCCATGTTATACGTAGTCAACTTTTTTTATTTATGTGACGACGTTACTG